CTTAAATTGGAAATGAGCACTCCACTCATAATCTGTATTTCACATCCCCAACTGGGATTGAAGGGTGCTTTGAAGGCTTTACAGGAAGCTGCTTAAAGAAGAACTCTGAGCATAAGAAAACCCAACCCTTGCAGTGGGCCTATCTCCGCACTGCAAGGGTTAAGTGTGCGGTTTGTCTAAGGTCTATAATAACAAAGATATACTCACCTGAACCTGGAACCTGTCTGGCTGCTAGACCGGTCTACAGCTTCTCTCCACCACGGTAACCCCACTGCAAGAGTTACGTTTTCTTCTGCCTGGAATTCTTAAAGCTTTCTGGAAGCATAAAGGATGCTTTGTCACTGCTTTTTGTACACAGTTCATATATATGCAATCCAAAGCCCATATGTAAAAGGCCTAAAATAGCCCAAAGACAGCAAATGACAATCTCCCTAATCAGCAATCAAGAACAGGCAATCATTTTGTATCTAGAGCTCATTCCAAGACATCCACATCCTTAGACAAAGCGATGCTGCAAAGAAATTGCCTGGTCGCTATTGTTTCCCTTCAACATAGGCCAGCACCTGAACTGTCTGTATATGGCTCCCACTTCCCTCATCATTGCCTGCTTGAACAGAGCATTCCTAGGGCGGAAGCGGTAAAGAAGTATAGGGGTTGTGGGTTACTGTTCATTTCTGCTTTGATCAGCATTGATGAAGAAAGAAATGTGACAAACAAATCTATCCATCCCAATCACTAGTGATGCCAATACTTATTACTATCTTAATAATCTCCTAATACAATAATTTATCAACCAAGAACCACTACCAGTAATCAGGTGCATGGTGCATCTATAAGTCAGCCAATAGTCAAGGATTGTTTGCTTTATCGGTTGCCCAAAAAGTCTTATGACAATATTAACATCTATACTGGGAGCTTCATGAATTGAAAATACCAGACAACCATTTGATCTCAGTTTTGCTGATGTAATCAGTTCCATCAATTGCTTTTCTTTATAAAACAACTCATTTAATCAAAAGCCAGCCTGTTAACTGTGACTACCAGTGGATGATGTACTCCGCAAGCCCTGTTTCTAGAAGTAGGGCCCAATTAATTTTGCACCATCACTTGTTTCCCACATCTCTTTTGATAAAGATGACTTTTATTTCAATAAGAGTGGATGATAACATAGATCAAAAGAAAACTACAGTTTAGATGATCAAAAGGAGAAACATAACAGAGGTGTGAGTTTTTTGTAATCTGTTCACAATTCTTCAGGACTTACCTTTTGAATTGACATTTTCAAAACAATGGTTACTACTGTGTGATGCCGGTGACAATGGGGGGGCTAGAGGGATGGTGTTAACTATGTTTATCATCATTAAGATGAGATAGCTTCTTTCTCTTTTACGTCTCTCTATCAGTAATGTTTGTAATTTGTAATCGGTAATATAAAACAGATTTAGAAGGCTGACAATAAGCAATTTTGTTCTTTTTTTTCTGTTTTAGAATACAAAAAATTATGATAAAAATAACAAATAAAAAAACAGTAGAGAGAAATAATAAAACAAACATAAATAACATTATATATATTAAGTTTTCCCCCCATATCATTGGATTCAGGTGTTCCAATCACCTCCATGGCCACAGGTGTATGAAACCAAGCACCTAGGCATGCAGACTGCTTCTACAAACATTTGTGAAAGAATGGGTCGCTCTCAGGAGCTCAGTGAATTCAAGCGTGGTACCGTGATAAAAACGGTCAAACTTTCCCATAGACACACTCGTAAACCTTGTGGACGCCTTCCCAGAAGAGTTGTTATAGCTGCAAAGGGTGGGCCAACTCAATATTGAACCGCACGGACTAAGACTGGGATGCCATTAAAGTTCATGTGAGTGTAAAGGCAGGCGTCCCAATACTTTTGGCAATATAGTGTACATCTTGCTGCATTAGAACATGCAGATCAAGCGGTAATAAATGAGGCCTCAAGCAGGCTTGTTAAGTAATGCAAAAGACAATGCACTAAGTACATGTGATGCAAACTGGTTGCTCAGAATTCCTGTTTAAAGAAATATGTGAGATGTTTTTGAATGTGCAAGCTCCAAGGATGTCATCTTCACCTTTCCTTCAGTACAAAGACATGGGAACAAGCACGTGCATCTCATGTGTCAGGGCAGGTCTGTGACTCAGTAGCAAGGAGAAAGATAACATCATTGGAGTGGCAGCTCCATGTCTTAACAAGAGTCAATCAGAGATCATCCAGACTTGAAGAGTCGGTCTACATAAAAGTGACATTTTAGCTATAGCCAGGGTCTAGTGTCCTGAATCAGCCCCCGGCGTCTTATATGTCATGAACACTACTACAGCAATGTCCCCCACCAGAGATCTCACGTTTGTTCCTGTCCACCTGGGAATCTTTGGCTGTCCCTGCCCATGTTTGCATGTTCCAGCTCCTCCTGTTGCATTCTCCATAATATAAAATAAATACAATTCAACAGAGAGAGTGGAACTCCTCACAATAGCCACAGCAGGTGTGCAGACCCAGGAGATGAAAGGCAGATATCTCACCTATAGTGAGTCCCTGAATGATACACGTAAGTACCACATGGTTCCACTCTCCAGCATCGAACAAAAACAGAAACACCAGTTTTTTGGTGGGCTGGTCTGACTCTAATGAAAAGAAACAGTTATACATTTATATTGCTGCTCCTGACTATGGGTTTGTATCATTATCCTTTAGGTTTACCTCCACCAAAGTGTTATACTTACCTTTCCACACTCCTGCCCAGTCCCATGCTGTGCAGCCCTCGGAGAGCCACACAGCCATCGCTGCAAACTCTTGCTATTGGTTCCTCCCTTATTCTGTGCATGTGCCGAGAAATTTCCATTCATTTCTATGGGGAGGCCATCTATTGTTGGGATGCATAATAGATGGCCTCTCTATTGGAATGAGGGGGATTTTCTCCATTCATTGGAAAGAACCAGGGAGCGATTGGACGGAGAGTTTGCAGCGGCAGCTGTGCGGCTTCCCATAGGCCGCCCAGCATGGAATTGGCAAATGTGTTCTAGGGAAGTAACTTAAAATATAACTACAGACAAAACTTTTTTTTTGGATTTAGATAGGAGTAGGGAGGGGTTAGAATCACTGTCAGGTTCTTATTGTCTGTGTTACCCTTAGTGGGATTCACTCTAATTGAAGTACAACCTTATAGTGCAGGGGTAGGCAACGTTGGCACTCCAGCTGTGATGAAACTACAAGTCCCACGAGGCATTGCAAGACTGGCAGCCACATGCATGACTCCCAGAGGCAGAAGCATGAATTTGTAGTGTCACCACAGCTGGAGTGCCGAATTTGCCTACTCCTGTTATAGTGTAACCTTAGAGGATCGCCACATTGTTCTACGTTTTCTCCAAGTGTGTTCACAAATAGCAAAACCAAAGAAAACAACTTCACAATGGCACCCACT